GAGACGGAGTCTCGCTCTGTTGAGCATGCTGGAGTGCAATGGCGCCATCTTAGCTCATCACAACATCTGCCTCCTAGGTTCAAGCAATTCTCCTGTCTCAGCCTCCCAAGTAGCTGGGATTACAGGTGCCCACCACCACGCACAGATAATTTTTGTATTTTTTAGTAGAGACAGGGTTTTATTATTTGGCCAGGCTTGTCTCGTCCTGACTTCAAGTGATCTGCCTGCCTCAGCCTCCCAGAGTGCTGGATTACAGGCATGAGTCACTGTTTCCAGCTGCCTGGCCTATTTTTTATTTTTAAGAGACAGGGTCTTGCTCTGTCACCCAGGCTAGAGTGCAGTGGTGTGATCATAGCTTACTGCAGCCTTGAACTCCTGGGCTCAAGTGATCCTCCTGCCTCAGTCTCCTGAGTAGCTGGGACTACAGGCATGTACCACCATACCTGGCTAATATAAAATATTTCCTGTAGTGGCTGGGCATGGTGGCTCACACCTGTAATCCCGGCACTTTGGGAGGCCAAGGCTGGTGGATCACTTGAGGCCAGGAGTTTGAGACTAAACTGGCCAACGTGGCGAAACCTCATCACTACTAAAAATACAAATTAGCTGGTAATGGTATTTCACATCTGTAATCCTAGCTACTTGGGAAGCTGAGGCTCGAGAATTGCTTGAACCCAGGAGGCAGAGGTAGCAGTGAGCCGAGATTGTGCCACTGCACTCTATCCTGGGCGACAGAGCAAGACTCTGTCTCGAAAATAAAAAAGAAAAATTTCTGTAGAGACTGGATCTTGCTGGGTTGCCCGGGCGGTCTCGGACTCCTGGCCTCAAGCAGTCATCCTGCCTTAGACTTCCAGTGCTGGGATTACAGGTATGAGCCACAGTGCCCTACTGACAATTATTTCATGTTTTGAATTGAAATCTAATTGAGTCTTCTCATAAATTTAATTTTAAAAATTTATTTATGTTTGAGACGGAGTCCCACTCTGTCACCCAGCTTGGAGTGCAGTGGCATGATCTCAGCTCACTGCAACCTCCACCTCATGGGTTTAAGCGATTCTCCTGCTTTGGCTTCCCAAGTAGCTGGGATTACAGGCATGTGCCACCACACCTGGTAATTTTTGTGTTTTTAGTAGAGACAGGGTTTCACCATGTTGGCCAGGCTGGTCTTGAATTCCTGACCTCAGGTGATCCTCCCGCCTTAGCCTCCCAAAGTGTTGGGATTACAGATGTGAACCACTGTACCCAGCCTAATTTTAGACAAGTACCCTGGAACTATACAGAATAAATATAATACATCTTCCATATGCCAACTTGTGAACCTTTGAAGACAGTCTTTCTAAGACATATTTGGAGTTTATCCTAATTCTAAACTTGTTTTCAATTCAGATCAGTCTGCACAAAAGCAATTTCTACCTCTCTCTACTTTGTAAATGCAGCCTTACAAATCTGTGCTTCACTTCTTATGATTATTTAGATACAAAGTAAGTAGGCTTTCCCTTCCTCCTTGAAGAATGAATGGATGGTGAGCTAAGTCTTTACAATTGCCTATGAGTTTGGAGGGTTTGCAGTCTACCACTCTTGTAATCATTGGAAGGTCAGGCTGCTGCCCTGCTGCATACTCCATCAGAGCTCACAAAATGGCTGGAAGTTTATCCGGG